GAAAGGGCAGTCTTTATGGCATCGCATCCTCTCTGAGCTCCCCCCGCTCCCCAAACCCTGGCGCCCCTAGGCGTTGCCTCCAAATCTCCAGGAATGGCCCAAGCCAGAGTTGGCAACTTAGATGGGACATTTATGTAAAGTTGCCAGGTCTGGGTTGGAAAACACCTGGAGTCTTTGGGGGTGGACCCAGGAGGGCAGAGTTTGGGGAGGGGAGGGGCCTCAGCAGGGTACAATACCATAGAGTCCACCCTTCAAAGCCACCATTTTATCCGGGGGAGCTGATCTCTGTCAACTGGAGACCAGTTGTAAAAGTGGGAGCTCTCCAGGCCCCACCTGGAGGCCGGCAACCCTACTTTAATGCTCCCAGATGCACATCAGCTCTTTTCTGTTTGTGACCACAGCACAGCAGGAGAAGTGGCCTTTAGTCCTCCATCCGCCTCCCCGTTGTTTTCATGTCCACAAACTGAGCCACAGGGTCTCTGTTGACTCCACTGTTCTGTGTTCAGAGGCTGTTGGGCCAAGGATGGAGCTTCCCTAAGGAGTTTGGCCAAGGGCTCCCTTGAAGAGCTGGAGGATCAGTGGTGACCAGTTGCTGGATCAAGGGTCTCGCCTTCCCTGCTCCCTCAGAAACTGCCTCTTATATATGCTGTGAAACCTGATAGGAGTCCGAAATCTCGCTCACACTGAAAGAGAAGGCACGTTTGTTTCCCATAAAGTTATTCCAACGATTTGCTGACTGGACCACGCCAGGTGTGGTTATTTCCAAGAAGTAGGAACAGTTCTTATCAGCCACTGGGCTGTTTTGTTTTGTTTTTGTTTTTTTGCAGGCTTCCCAGGTTTAACGGAGGTTTCCTGTACACAGATGTCCTTTGCCACAGGGCTTCAGACAGTATGAAAATGGAGAACAGTAAGGAAGCTGTGTCAATCCCAACCACAGCCAGGGCTCTTTTTGTAGAAAAAGCCCAGCAGGAACTCATTAGCATAATAGGCGACACCCAGCAGCAGAAACTCATTAGCATATTAGGCCACACCCTGACAGCACCGCTCATTGGCCCATTAGGCCACATCCCCATGTTACCAGAAGTGTGGTCATCCAGCCACACCCACCTTTCCCTTCTTATTCTGTTTACCATGTTTGTTGTCCAAACCCAGGGCTTTTTTTTTGTAGCAGGAACTCCTTTGCATGTTAGGCCACACACCCCTAATGTAGCCAATCCTAATGAGTTCTTGCTGTTGGGTGTGGCCTATTATGCTAATGAGTTCCTGCTGGGCGTGGCCAACTTGGTAGCCAGCCGGAACTCCGTTCCTGTGCGTTCCTGCCCAAAAATAGCCCTGCCCACAACACACAACACACCCTCATCCATAGCAGCCAGCCAAACATAATACTAATAATAATAAGCCATATCTTGGAACAGGGATGTATTTAAAAACCTTAACATACTGACTTCGGATGTGAGAAATCTTTATAGCAGGAACATATCTGAATGAAGAGAAAGGAGGACTGACGAGAAACTGAAGAGAGGATGGGCATGCAGAAGAGCCGAGGTACAATCCCTGACATCTCCAGTTAAAAGGACCAAGTAGTAGGCAATGTGAAAGACCTCTTAACAGGACCCTGGAGAGCTGCTGCCAGTCTGAGTAGGCAATGCTGACTCAGATGGACCCAGGGTGTGATTCAGTATGAGGTGGCTTCGTGGGTATTCATCTGTCCATGTGTCAGCTTGCACAGAAAGGGCTGGGGCACTGCACCTGTGGTTTAAAGTGTGTGACCACTCAGCAAAAGAACAGTGATGGGGCTGGCTGCGACACTGAACAATCAGTTAAAAAGTGGCCAGGCAAGGAAAAGTGACAGAAGTTCCCTAGCGGGACTAAACTGAACTTATTCCACAACCGGCTTACTAGTTCTCCTTTCTTGTAAAAGCTTGGAGTCTCACTCGCAGTGAAAGTGAAAGCACATCTTTGTTTTTCCAGCCAGTTTGTCTATTGGTTATTTATTTCAGCAGCAGGAGCAGGAGCAGCAGCTGCCACCCTGCTAAATGATTCCAGCCTGCACATTTCCAGGAAGACTACTGGGATGTAAGGAATGCTGTGACTGAATGCTTCATCGAGCATATTTCCCCCACCAGGATTGGTTCCAGGTCATGGAGTCCCTGGGCATCTAGGAGCACAACTGCCACGGCCAACCAGGAACAATAATGCTTTGTGCACACACACCCCAACACACACACACACCTCATGTGCTCTTCTCCAGCAGTGTTCTGAAGCATACCCAGCTGGGAGCACATGACAAAGCACTCACAAGCAGGCAGTGGGAGGATATCACTGCAGGCATCAGAGGTGATGCTGAGGTGGCCAACCTCCAGGTGTGGCCTGGAGATCTCCCAGTATTTACAATTGATCTCCAGACTACATGGATCAGTTACTCTGGAGAAGAGGGCTGCTCTGGAGACTGGACTCTGTAGCATTGTGCCCTGCTGATGTCCCCGCCCTCCCCAGACTCCACCCCCCAAATCTCCAGGTATTTCCTAACCCACAAGTGGCAACTCTCGATGCCTGAGAATGGAATCAACAGCAGTGGGCCCTGCCCGAAGCCATGGACCCTGGCAGTTCCCCCGCCTCGGAGTATGTGGATGCCAGTTATCCCCCCCCCCATGCAGAGACATGTAACAAAGTTTATTTAATGTTTATTTAATCAAAAGCCAGCCATTGTGAAGTAGTACGAGTGTTATTAAAATTCAAATGCAAATGAAAGATGAAAGCAGGCATTTACTAAAACAGAATCCTGACATGGTGTAGTAATAATTCTTATTACTTATAAAAGTGTACAATGAATGCAGCATCTGAAATGTGCTGAAGTCTTCTAGCAAGCCCAGATCCCACTACTAGAAGCAATTGTTTAATAGATGTAAATTACTCTACCTTCTGGTTGACTTACTGGGCTTACAGGATGGGGGATTTCAAGAACATTTAGGAAATTGAGACCCCAGGCTTTGTGTTTGCACTGCAGTCACTACGTGCAAAGGCAAGGCTACGCAAAACAGACACACCCTGACTTCCTGGTTAGTGCTGCTATTTGCTGCCCTTTTTTAGCAGTGATTTTTAAATAAAGTTCTCTGTGGCTGCGAACTTTTTAACCTATGAGGCTAAGGGAACCATTTGCCTATCAAGAGATATACTTAAGCCTATCAACCAACCTGATACACCTTTATTTCTCTCCCCTACCCACAATTTCATTCTTCTGTTTTCCAGCCTCATTCCTTCTCATCTCTGCCCGGCTGAGGAGTTAAAACATATGTAACAGTAAAACAGAAAACAATAAAACAGTAAAACAGAAAATACAATGAACAGAGGAATACATGAGTGTCAAGTTAATCTTTCCCAAGAATCTAGCAAAACAGTGGAAGGATGATTTCCCCTCTCCCCCGATCATTATCTGTATTAGACTTCATAAATGTGAAATAGTGAATGCTTTCGTTTCAGTTTGCATCAAAACAAATGATTGCTGAATATGTGAATATAATTTGAATTTATGGTTTTAAAGTACATCTTGTGTTAGACTTTGTTAAAGCACACGTGAAGTCTGAGATTAAAAGGTGGTTCTGAAGCCTTTGATCTATTAAGGTAGATCCATCTGATCAAGAACATGAATTGGGCCACTCTGGAAATTATTCCAGGGTAATCTGTTGCCCAGTCTGCCTCTGATCTCCTCATTTCTTTTTCTCCCTTTTTAAAAGAGGCGACACCAGGAGAAGAAGAAAGGAGATGGAATGGGAAGAGAGACCTGGAGCTAGCTGGATGTCAGCATCCAGGGACCAGAATAACTTTCTAAAGTTAGTGAAGGTGCAGGGAGACAGCCCCATCCAGAGATTTGGCTCACCTGCTTCCTCTCCCTAGATGAAAAAACTGACCTTTCACATCTCCCCAGTTATCCATCCCCTATTAAACTTCCTCATGCCATGGCTGAGTTTGCTTTATTTTCAAAGTTAGTAGCAATCTTTTTTTTTTTGCTGTTTAGTACTTTTTGAGAGAGCCTGATGTCTCAGTTCAATGGGCCTTATTCCCAGGTAACTTGTGTCTCATCTGTGTTTAATTGACAGCACAATTCAGTGTTCTGGCTAGCTTCAATGTGAAGAGAGTCGGGGAGAGTTAGTCCATCTCTACTGATAAATCAAAAGAACATAGTGATCAATATGTTATATAATTCATAATATGGTAATATGTAATTCCTGGGAGTAGCCCCCCTGAATAAAATGGGACTTACTTCTGTAGTGTGGATCCAATTTCCTGTCAGATTTGTACTTGAATTGTGACCCTGACATTTTCCGCACAAACAGCTCTCCCCGCTCTTGCATTTCTATTCCTCCACCTCTTCAGCTGGTTTCCACAATTATCTTCGCAGTCCGAGATTTAAAAAATGAGGTTTGTCTTCCCTTGCGGCACAGCATCAGACTTCCCTGTTTCCAGGAATTCCACTGCTGCACCACAAAAGGGACCAAACCTCGATTTTGCATCTCAGACTGCAAATACCATTGCAGAAACCAGCTGAAGAGGCAGGGGAATAGAAATGCAAGAGCAGGGAGAGCTGCTTGTGCAGAAAACGTCCCTGTGCATCATTGTCCGGTCCCCCACAGCTATTAATCCAATACACGTTTAGGCAAAGTAGTATTTTACTAAAGCTATGATAGAGCAGGAACAAGTTCACTGTCCAGAATGCCTGGGACAGGGTGGGCAAGGAATAATGTAAGACATTCAAACAGGGTAATAACCAATAATCTCCATTCCCGCCGAGCGGGCAGACTCCAGGTTACGCGCTCAAAAGCCTGAGAAGCAACGTTCCTTAAAACCTAAACAATTACAGCTTCACACGGTGCAGTTCATTATACAGTTGGCAAAGCAGCTTCCCCACACACCTGTTAACCTTGCAGATAAGCGTTGCCTAGCGTTTACAGACAGGAATGCATGAGACAAGATCATACACAGGGAAAATAGGGCATGCGCAGATGCCAGGGGAGAAGAGGGGGGACAACTGCCTCCCAGCCTTCTATGGCAGCTAGCTGACAATCATTCATGCACTTTGATGTGTTTCCAGATTGTTGTATTTGTCTTTTACCTGGGACTCTTAATGCTCTGCAGCTTTTGCCCAGACGTTCCCAGCATCTTCCACAATATCATTCAGGAAGAACTTCAGCAGAAAGAACAGGGTTTTAAAACATTGTCCTCCATCAGGGAGATCGACCATGCTTGGTTCCAAATATGAAATCACTGCATCTACTGTCATATGCAAAGCCAGAAACTCGCACAAAAGGCTGATTGTAAATTCTTCAGTGATCTCACTGGGCACTGGGGACTTCTGGATAGCAGATCTCAATACTTCAACAGGTTTGCCAACCCACTTTGCAAGCCGATGGAGGGAATCATCATCCAAGCCAAAAACCTTGTAGAAGTGCCTTAGCGTTTTTATCACGATAAGAAAATTACATAACAAAGGTGTGTGTGGCACAGGAAAAGCTTCAACACAAGCGGACACAATAGCTTGTCGCCATATGATGTCCTCCATGGCAGCCTTTTTCTTTTGCAGGATTTCTTTCGAGAATGATGGCAGAGCCAGGATTAAAGCATGTCTCTTCATTTCATTCAGATCATTCAGCAAGGTCACTTGCAGGACAGGGAAATCATACTTATCCAGGTGCCAACTGGAGATGAGAAAAATCCTTGGAGCAGATTCTCCTGCTTTGGTCAAATTCTCACAGCAGTATTCCCGTATCTCTTGAAGGGTCTTTTCCTCACTGAAGTCTGGTTTCCTTCTTTCCGCCTCTAGGCTGCTATCCACTTTGGTGCGCACAAAATAAAAATGCTTCTTTAGCCGCTGAATTTCACGGGCCAGCATTTCATCATTCTCAAAGAAGCGTTCTGCAGCGACAATGATGAAGAAATCGTACCTGCCGAAATTAATCTTTTTCAGGTATTCGTTGGCTTTAAATTCGTGTGTCCCAATTCCTGGTAGATCCCACACTGTTACATTTGGGAATGTGGGATGCTGATATGCCTTTGGCTCCATGGTTGTTTGTTTCACCCCAGTGGCAGCTGCGCCCTCTTCAGAGTCTGCCATGCCACGCACAGCGTTCACGAAAGACGATTTACCAGCTCCCGATACCCCTGTGACAGCAACGTCAACGGTGGTGCCTTCTAGCAAATCCAGTTCTTGGTGAATTTGAGATGCAAGGTCTGGAAGATTTCCCTGCTTCATTGCATCCTTCAGGTTTTCAAGATTAGTTCTTACGATTACTTTTGAGCTGTCGCTACCCATTGCCGTTCTTTGGGATGATTTGCTTAATCTGAGAAAGAAAAGGGAAATTTCACTGTTTTGTACTATGTAAAATCCAGATGATAGTTACCTGTGAAAATCTGGATTTGCCTGTACAGGGAAACAGATTTTCTTATGATATTCCTCCATCCATAAAAAACTAGCTCTGTGTCAAATGCATTTGGTCATCATGACTGAGCCAGTTGCTACATTTCCCATGTTTGCATAACTTGGGTTGGATCGGACACCACTTCTAACACCTTGCCGCTATTTGTGATCCATGGCTGGAAACCAGCCCATTATTTATATCCCACCCTATCCCATGATGGACTCAGGGCAGCTCACAACAAAGACAGAACAATAAATATACAATTAAAAACCAATTAAATAAAAACAGGGTGGCAGCAAAAAATAAGATCAGAGCAGCCTAAGACACTTCAGTTAGGTGTTAGTAAGATAGTAGGAATATGTAGGCCTACTTATCAGAGAAGGAGAGGTAGTTAGTTTTGTTCACTCATGCCCACCCCATCTGGATTGGATGTTGCTGCTAGTCGATGCTACTTCCAAAATTGTGAGATCTGGTTCCCAAATTGACACCACCACCCCAGACTTGTACCATTCAAAGAAGTATGGAAGATGGACAAACCTGGGATCCAGGACTGATCATCACCAATCAAATTTCCTCTTATTAGATGGAAACACAAAGAGTTAACCGTGGTCAGTCCAACCACATCATCCACACACCTATGGTTGCCAGCAGAGCATTGGCAGTCAGCAGAAATCTTTTGGGGATGGAAGTTATGTCACAAGAGGAGACCTGACACTGATGTCACTTTTGGTTTGTCCAGTGAAGTACATCATAATGCTCTAGAAATACATCTCTGTTACAGTTTTGCTCTTTTCTGAGACCCCTTTGTGTCAGAACAGTCCTGCTCTGGCCCACAGGCCCTGTTCCACCCTGCCCTCTAAGGTTTTTCTAACACCTGGATTTCCCACTCGAAGCCGTGCGGCCGCATTTTGACCTGCAGCTTCGCCCGATTTTCCCTCAAACAAATCTTCCCCTCAAAAAAGGATCACGAAACCACAGGGGAAATCAGGTGAAGCCGCGGGTCAAAACGCGGCCGCATGGCTTCGAGTGGGAAATTGACCAATAGAAGTGGGGCAAAGGGAGGCGCAACCGCGGCGCAGCTCTTGTGTGAAATCAGTCAAAAACTTTAAAAAAAACTCCTGGTGAAGGCTTTACTCAATTCAAACCTCCACCCAAAAATGCATTTCTTCACACCCTTATATGTAATACCTGTAAATATGTAATACCTGTAAAGGCACCTCTCTATAATGTTTGGAGATGACACGTGTTATGTTGCCTCCTTGTCTTCCTTAGTGTTTTCTACTTATTTTCACTGCCAGTGCCACCGATGGCTCTTGCCTTAGAATTTTTAGTTGGAACTAAAGAACAGTTTATATTAGTTATTAGTTATTTTTGGTCAAATGACAGAATGGTTAGCATGTAGAAAGAAACCCTTTAAATAAATTAGCTGTTTTCTCTTAAACATAGAGTTTATGTAGAAGTAAAACAGCTTAACGGTTTCAGTAAAGTTCATAAGCATAATCGTTTCAGATAGGCGCATAAGTGTAATGGTTTCAGATAGGTACAGTTCTCCTTCTCAAAAGTTCCTTAAATACACCAGGCCACAAGGGCTTATTATTTCACTTGCCACTTAGGCTAATAACATCCCCAAAGCTTAATTTCCCAATTTGCCACTAATACATGAGGTACAATGCTAATAACTTCAAAAACAACATATTCTCTCATGGCCTACAGCACTTCACTCAGTCTCTTCATTGTACACACTCTACTAACACTCTCTTTCTCTCTCAAACACTCTGGACAAACTAATGGGTACAGGGACCATTGCCAGACTACAGAGATCAGTTCCCCTGGAGGAAAGAAATGCTTTGGAGGCTAGACTGTATGCTATTGTACCCCTCTGAGGTTCCTGTCCTGTCCAGGCTCCATCCCCAAATCTCCAGTAGTTTCCCAACCTGAAACTAACAACCCTCTCCCTCCCCTCATCCTCTGCTGGTAGCTAGGGGGACCTGGCAACCATAATTTCAAAGAGAAAAAACAGTCTTGCAAGCAGGGATTTTTTTTTGTAGAAAAAGCCCAGCAGGAACCCATTAGCATAATAGGCCACACTCAACAGCAGAGACGCATTAGCATATTAGGCCACACCCATGACAGCACAGCTCATTAGCATATTGGGCCACACCCCATGCTTTACCTTGGCTTGCCTGGGTGCCCTGCGGCTGCGGGGAGCCTGGGCAAGCTGGCCCTTGGACAGGCTGGGGAAAGCACGGGGAGGCATTTAAATGCCTCCCTGATCCTTCCAGGTCCCCCCCTGGCCCGCCTGCCTCAGAGTCGCCAGTGGGGGTTGCTCTCCAGGCCTTCCCTCTGTAGCCACACAAGCAGAGGTTTTGGCTGTAGTGGGCGAGGCCAATTCTGAAGCCAGCCGGAGTGCCGTTCCTGTGCGTTCCTGCCCGAAAATAGCCCTGCTTGCAAGTATAGTAAGAAAACAGGGCCAAATATTAGAGTCCCACAGAACCCCCTCACCTCCGGCTGCCAATAAGGTTGGGGCCTGAAGATCTGTGGCTGTGACAACTGAACTTCAGATGACAGAGATCAGTTCCCCTGGAGCCGATGGCTGCTTTGGAAGCGGAGTCTGTGGCGCTGTACCCTGCTGAGGTCTCTCCCCAAACCCCACTTTTTCCAATCTCCATCCCCTAAATCTCCAGAGCTGGCAACCCTAAGTAGTACGTTGCTTCAGGAAGCTGTTTCTGTGCTAACTCTTCACAGTGGGCCTGCCTGTTTGCCAAAGATGATGATGATGATGATGATGATCATCATCATCATCATCATCTTTCCATTTATTAATCGCTCAATCCATGCAGTCCAAATGGGCTGTAGGAAGAAACAGGCAGAATGAGGAGAGGAAGGAGCAGAGAGATCTAGGGCAACGCCAAGGCCAATGGAAGAGAACGTTCTGTGGGGCGTATTGAAAATGGGCTGCATGGGACGCCCAAAGACCCACGTGGTGAGGATATAAGGGACAGCTCAGCTGGCATAGGGAGGTAGAGGAAAGCCATGAGGAGGTGGGGAGACAGACAATGAAAGGAAACAGAATATGGGATGTAGAGAGACATATAATGAAGAGGACACGCACTGTTGGGTGCAGGGAGGGGGGGAAATGAGGGGAGACCAGCAATTAAGTTGCATCCCTGCCACCTTTTTTCCTCATCAGCATTCAGGTGGCAACTGTGGCTTGCAAAATTCCTGAGGCTTTGGGGGTGGATCCTGTGGAGGAACCTCAGCAGAATATAATGCTACAGTGTCGATCTGTCACCTGGAGATCACTTGTAATTTTGGGAGCTCTCCAGACCCAACAGGGAGGTTGGCAACACTAGCTGTGCATTAAGTGTTTCATACTTTCCAATCGTAACTGAGCACTAGGGATCCCTGCCAAAGGTAAAAATAAATCCCTTTGTTTGAGGGTTTGTTTGTTTTTGCAAAATCATAGGCTTCCTGTTCTTGATCGCTTGCTATAATCACTGCATGCAACTGTGAAAGCTCACTCCCTTTACCTTGCTATCGAACTTGCTGTTCAGCCTTTCTGTGAGTCTTCCTCCTGTTCCCCCCCAACTCAAATATAAAATGATGTCTCTCCTTAAATACTGAGCTTTTTTACTACCGAATATTCCAAGCACACAAAAAGGGGCTTGCTGCGTCTTCCTTTATGTTGAAAGAGTTCTTAAAATATGTTCACAGAGATTCTGAATACCAGTGCTAAGCATAGAAGCTGCAGAAATACCACAAAGCCCACAAAGAAGTTTGATATCAGGAAAAATCTGCTTACCCTTTACAGCCCAGTCCTACTTTGAGAAGGTGGCGCGTACTGGCAGTTTCGTTAGGATTTTTTTTTTTCCTTCTCTGCTCCTTGGACGAAGGAAAGCCCAAACTTCCACTGGCAATGAAACAGAAAGCAAGCTTGTTTTTATAGAATTCAACATCCTCTTGTGAGGCGTGGTGATTTGGAGGGTGGCCGAATGGTTTTGATAAAAACAATGGACACACCTGATAAAAATTTACTGACCAATATACGGACGCACATACATATGGCTGTATAATTTCCCCTTAGCTCTATACACAGAGTATCGAATTCTCTTTTTTCTTCTTATATCTTAATTTTTTAATCCTCAAAACCACAAGTCATCAGATCATTATTTTCTTTTTTCCTTGCAAGAAGTCCATAAGGGGTTTTTACTCTGTAATAAATTAATTGTCTTTTCTCTAACCAACACAATAAGTTAGCTATTGCTGCAAAGTCTGGCAGCTTCTCCAACCTTCGCTCTTCAATGGTAGATATTGTTGGGCACTTCCATTTTGGTGTGTATAATATTCTTGCCACTGTAATCATATATAGAAGTTCTATTACTTCTTTCCAACGGATTGTCCATCAGTCCAACCAAAAACCCTCCAGTTTCAATTGTATATTTAAGGTCTTGTGTATTAATATTTGCATTTGAATCCAATTTTTTTTGGCTTTCTTACAAGTCCACCACATGTGATAGAATGTCCCTTCATGGTGTTTACATTTCCAACATAGATTAGAGATACCTTTATACATTTTAGACAATTTCTCTAGACACATATACCAATGGTGTATCATCTTATAAAAATTGTATTTAAGATTAGAGCTTAAATAAATTTCAAATCCTTTGTCCACAAACTTTCCCACTGTTCTATTTGTATATCACGCCCAATATTGTTAGCCCATTTTACCATACATTCTTTCTTGTTCTTCCTCAGTTTCAAATTTCAACAAGAGTTTATTTATTTTAGCAATAACATGATCATCATTTGCACATAATTCTTTTTAAAATTCAGACTTTGTTCAAAATCCTGATACCTTTATCAACTAAACCTTTCCATAATTTGTATACACATAAACCAATGGCAAGTATAACCTTCAGTTATTGTTCTCTTGATTGTAATTAATATTCACCTTGTCACTATTCTAACATAAAATGATGTGTTAGCTATTTATGTAAGGGGTAATTTCTTTTCTAAAATGTGCTTCTTGTGGTGATAGCTCTATTGGTATTTTGAGCAGAGTCTAAGCTTGTACTTATTCTGAACTCTCAAGATGGCACATCTAAGATAATGGTTATTAAATTCTGCATTAATTTTGGCTTTATCATACATCAAGTATCTGAGCCAACTGAATCTAAAGTCATAGCCTTCTAATTCTAATAATCTTTTTTAAAAAAATAATCCAGTCCTTCATCCTTACCGAGCAGGAAGTGGCAGAATACAATGTCAGATCTGGCAAAGAAAGGCCACCTCTTTTTTTTTGTATCTTGTAATCCTCCGGTATATATAATCCTGTTTTGGTCATGGACTCCCCTGAACATTCCAACATGCTCCAAAATCAGTTTGCTCCAACATTCTAAACAGTTTGCTATTCCTCTTCCCCTCACAGCCAGTCAGAACAGAGGTCATTTGCATATGTGGCCTGATTCACCTTTGCCTCGGAACACAGAGGTCGTTTGCATATGCGGCCTCACTGGCCTTTCCCTCTAACATTCTAAACAGTTTGCTGTTGATGTTCTGAGGTAAAATAAATTTCCCCTTAGTGTCTGTTGGGGGAAACCATGGTTGCAAAACTCCAGGTGAGGGCTGAAGATCACTCAGAATTACAACTGCTTTCCAGATGGCAGAGATCAGTTCCCCTGGAGAAAATGGTGGACTCTGTGTCCTTATATCCTGCTGAGATGGCCCCTGTATGACAGCCAATGTGACGGAGCAGTCAGGGCTTCAGCTATTAAAAGTAATGTCCAGATGACCCGGATCAGTTCTCTTGGAGACAATGGCTGCTTTGGGCAGTAGATTCTATGGCTTTATTCCCTGCCGAGGTCCCTCCCCCACCCCAAATCCTGCCCTCCCCAGGTTCTACCCCTCAAATGCACAGGTATGTTCCAACCCAGAGTTGGCAACCGTGTAATCGGCTGTGGTACCACTTTCCAGACCCTTGGAACCCAAAAAACATGGCACTGGAGGAGGTGCTTTTCTACGATATCTGTGACTGCATAGCCACAAATTAACATAAGCCAACCTCCAGGCGGCACCTGGAGATCTCCAGCTATCAAAACGGATGTCCAGATGACCAAGATTAGTTCTCCTGGAGACAATGGCTGCTTTGGGCAGTGGATTCTATGGCATTATACCCTGCTGAGGTCCCTCCCCACCCCAAATCCTGCCCTCCCCAAGCTTTACTCCTCAAATCCACAGGTATTTCCCAACCTAGAGTTGGCAACCCTGTAACTGGTTACGAAACTACTTTCCAGACCCTTGGAACCCAGAAAACATGGCACAGGAGGAGGTGCTTTTCTACCTTAGCTGCCACTGCATAACACCCCCCTCCCACTCAAAAAATAAGTCAGAGGTGGAGGGAACCATACTTGTTACCATAAGGCTGTCCTCCCATTCTACCCACTTGGGGCAGCAAAATGACTTGAGACAGCCCTGCCTTATAGCTAAGCAGAAGGAAAGAAACATGGCTTGCCTCCCTCCATTTTCCGCTTCCCTCTGCTGCCCCACCAACCACAGTCGGGACACTAATCTGGAGCTTCCTTCTAGATGCCGTTGTATTTCTTCCCACAACGAGCATTACTCCTAGTATCTTATATTTATCTTTTGGTTTTTTCCTTTGTCTAACAAATCTAGATATCTCTTTCTGCTATTGTTTAAATGGTATATCAGTTGTCAAAACTGGCATTGTCTGGAACAAAATAACATTCTAGATAAAACATTAATCTTTATCGCAGATGTTCTACCCAAACGTAACAGTTGTAGATTACTCCATCTCAACGTATCATTTTTAATTTCATTCTACGTTTTAACACAATTATTTTACAGTAACATACAAGTCATATTTGTCAAAGAGATAACCAAATATTTTACCTTCTTTTTAATTCTGAAACCTGTTTTATTTATCAATTTCTTTTGATCTTGTGTTTTCATATCTTTTGTTATCATCTTAGTTTTCTGCTTTGAAACCCACAACTGCCCCAAATTCTTTCAGTTTAGACACTAAAATTTCAATTCCTTTTAAAGGATTTTCTAAAACCAACATCAGATCATCAGCAAAGGCTCTCAACTTAGAAGATTTCCCTTTCTTCACATTTTACATCTCTTTTTAATATTTCAAGAACCAAGATAAACAAAAGCAGTGATAATGGACAACCTTGTCTTGTAACTCTCTGTATCTCACATGATTTGGTCAAATCTCCATTGATAATTATTTGTGCAGCTTACGATTTAGAAATCAAATTAACCAATTTTATAAAAAAAATCCAAAATCCATATCTTCCAAGACTAAATAAATAAAAATGTCCAATTCAAATTATCGAAGGCCTTCTCTGCACCTATATTTTCCAAGTACTCCAAAATATTTAATAGTATTTTAAGATTGCCTCTCAACTGTCTCATGGGTAAAAATCCACTCTGATCTTCATATATAAAGTTCTGAAAAAATATTTTCAAGTCTTACAGCTAATATTGTTGTAAACAACTTGTAAACATTTTTCAACAGAGATATCAGTATGTAGTTACTTGGGTAGAAGAAGTCCTGTCCTTCTTTAGGTAGGAACATTTTAATGTTTTGATGTCCTCAATCTTAAGGACCCTATTTGGGTGTAAAGATGGGACAGAAATGTTTTAAACATACAAACACCCATTTGGAACAACAAATCAGACAACATCCACATCATGACCAGGTCTTAAGAATATGACCTGGAAAAAAACACTTTTTTCCTCTCTCTTTTTTTTTTTTAAAGTTTACTTCTGGCCTGATGAAGAATACTTGAATGATGTTTTGTTTTGAAGTATAAAAATGCAGCTTAGCATAACCAGTGCCATGTTTAATTGCTTCGTAAATGTTAATCCAGTCACCTAAAGCAAGAGGGCTCTGATACTACCCTGGCCTTTCTGTCCTTTGCAGCCTGCCTTTGGAGACTTCGGGAGGGCTGTAAGTATAGGGTGGGTGCTTGCTTTGCTTCCATTGTCTGCCCAGGTGAAGTTTCCCTGTGAGTTTAATGTCACTGGCTTGTTCTTGAACCATTCCATAGACTCCTGTAACTGCAGTTGTCTTTTCCAGAGGGAGGACTGGGGAGACATAAGAACATAAGAGAAGCCAATGTTGGATCAGGCCAATGGCCCATCCAGTCCAACACTCTGTCACACAGTGGCCACAAATACCAGATGCCATCAGGAGGTCCACCAGTGGGGCCAGGACACTAGAAGCCCTCCCACTGTTGGCCCCCCCAAGCACCAAGAATATACTGCATCACTTGCCCCAGAGTCCCTCTCTATACCTTGTGGCTAATAACCATGTTAAGTCCGGTTCTTAACAATGAGTCGGAGAGTGATTTCAGCAAAACTCAGGTTTATTCAGCTCGATAATCAACTTCACCAACACGGTACAACTCTTCATAGCCCGAACAGTTTGTCCATTGAAACTGCTCGGTATTTAAACATTCTCGGCTAACATAGCCACTCCTACTTTACATTTAACAACCTATTAGGTTGAGCGAATAAGGACCAATCACAAACGTTCCCACTTGCAGCTTGCTTGAATGTGATTGGTTCGGTAGTCTTGGACTAGGATCCCCTGTCCAAGACGAAGCTTAACATTGCTTCCCTATGGGAGGTTTCACCATAGATCCTAATGTACTCATGGCAGCTTATGAATACATTACAATTCCCTCCCCCCTAAGCAAAATACATCAGGAACAATCATAATCACTTAGGTAGGTGGGTGCACGTCTCGTTCGCTGAGACCTACGAGGTGGACTCGTCTCAGGGCACATTTCACTCAGTGGCACTCCGCTTGACTCTGGGACCGCAGAGTCAGGAACATTCCCGTCCGTTACTGTC